TTGAAAACTGGAAACATTATCATTAATTGAAAACTGGAAACATTATCATTATCATTAATTCAATTATTACTAATTTCTTGATCTTTGATCTAGGCTCTACTTGAACTATTGAAAAAAAAAAACAAGAGAATATATAATTGTAGTAAAAGATTAATCAATGTTATGTAGTATGAAATTTACAACTTGAATTTCAAATTTTAAAAATTTGAAATAGATTATCAAACCAACAAATTGTAGATTACAGCAGAATTCATTTGAAAAAGTACTTACTGATAATAAAGTTAAGAAAGTAAGGAAAGTATTACTGATAACATAAAGTTAGAAAAGCATTACTGATAACAAAGTTAGTGGCATGAGAACTTTAACAAAAGCTGATAAAATAATTGAAAAAAAAATCTTAACTTAAAAAAACGTCAAAACAAGTTATGATGATGCAAGATGCGAAATAATAACATTAATTAAAAATAAACATAAGGACAAAAGCGCTCGGTAATATTATTGCGCAGTGATAATATCATTAATATTATGAATGCGCTTTTAGGATTATTAAATTACTTTCATGCTTAATGAATAAATTTTAATATTTTCCTTGCAGTCAAGAAAAATTGATACATTTGTGAAAATTTTGAGGTGAAAAAAAAAGAAATTTTATTAAATGAAATAAAACATACCGATAATATTGCAAAGCATTATGTACCGAGCATAGCAAAAGATCACCGACCCGCGGCCGTTCCGCACTACCATTCTTCAAGCATTCCGCCCTATAATACCCATTCTTTCTACACATTAGTAAGTTGCGGAAATTCCTCTAAAAAAAAAAATTTCCCTTTCGAAGTAATCAAAACTGCGAATGGAACGATGCATGTTAAAAATATTCTTCCAGTTCAATTGGGTATTTTTTAAAAATTTTAAATTTAAATTTTTTGTTAACATCTTAAATAGTGCTCAAAAAATAAGTAAGGAATACCAATTCTTGACGATAATTTCTAGCATACTAAGATGATCATCATGAAATCGTTGAAGAGATTTCAAATCAAGAAATAAATCCACTAATGCTCTTCCGCATGATAATGCACTCTCCGGTAATATTTGATAAAAATCCTACAAATCAAAATTTTAGAGGAAATTTTAGGAAATTTCTTGTAAATCTTGCAAATGAAAAATTAGGGAAAATTTTTAGGCGCTATTATTCCTGTATTAGTGAACATGAATGATGAAGTATGGATATTGAAAGAATTATAATCCATTTAATACTTCATAACTGAATAAATCAATGTTTCCGGTATTATTTAGCATTCTTTTTTTTTTTTGTTTTACCTGAATCCTTTACCTGAACCCTTTACCTAGCGATGATACCTTTGAATATATAAGTAATTAGTATTTGTTTTGAATTATTTTAATCTCAATCAATTACTATTCATGATTAAAATTTTACTCTGTTTAACTTAAAATTCTAAACATTAATTTTATGATCAATCATGCGGTTTTGGTTAAGGGCGGTAAATGTCATATACTCAGCAAACTTTAAGCAAATGTACTTAATCTTTGAAATGTTACGAAAAGTAAAAGAAATCAGTACAGTAAATAACCTCTGTAAGAATTTTCAAGTCGAAGACAGCTGTCCTTTCCAGCATGACAATATCTTTCAATACATCAAAACATTTTGGATTCACTTGCTAAAAATGAATTCCAAAAATTTGAAAATAATTTTTCAGTAAATTCTATAGCAGCAATAATTGCATGAATATATAATTTATGATCAATTTAAAGATCCATAAGGGTAAATTCTTTTATAATTAATTGGAAGATCGATAGAGGAGAAGATTGTAGAATAGTTGATAGAAAAAAAAAGTCAGAATTTGATAAAACCATATATAATCCTACCGTTAGCATGAAAATATGCTCAAGATCTTGACTGGAATATGATTCTAACATCATTGTTCTTCATTGAAAACATTTTCAGTACTTATTGTTCGATAAAATGAATGATCCCTTTCATCATTTCCTAAAATAAATATATTTTGAATAAATGATATGATATGATACGATTGATGAATAATTTATCAGAAGATCAGCAGTACTGTAAAAGGTCATCTTTTAATTATTAATTTCATTTACACTTAATTCAATGAAGAGATTATTTTAAAGCTAGAAAAGATTTGAATATCGACTTGAATTTCATATATAGTAATCAAAAACTTAAATTTTCGCTTTTTCTGATTTTTATTCTGTTTAATTTCAAAAAGGCTACCTATTCGTGAATGTTTTGAATCACTGTCGGAGATTGTCATAGCACCACTATCACTTGATTCATTTAATAATGTTGCACTGGTCCTTTTAGAATCCGGATCTGATGCGGATCTAAATGTTCTATCAAATATACATTTAGGATGAATAAAAGGAATTTCATTTTAATAGCACATTTAGATTATTCAGCTATGGATAGAAACCATTCTTAGTACCATTTCAACAATGCTACCATATATTTTTGCATTTCTTTTTCTTTTTTTTTGTTATTTCCGTACACGTTGAAAATTTAATACAAATTAAAGCAAACATGAATTTTTGCAAATTAAAATTGTAGCAGTAATTAAAATTAAATTTATTCATACTGTTTTTGCTCCATCGGATTGATAATACAATCACCAATAGTGGTGGCAAATGCTGAATTGATACTTCGTCTGGCAATTTTGGACAGACGCATCGGTGAATATTCAGATTTGGAATTATCATCGGCATCACGATCATCCGATACTAAAATAATTCATTGTTAAATACTATACAGGTAATTTCTGGATGGGGAAATTATCTGAAACAAGATTTCCGGAAGTCGATTTTTGAAAAAAAAGTAGGAATCAGTATATAAACGAAAAAGTTATGGATTATAATTTCTAAAATTTACATAAACTTGAATAGAGAAAATGGTAAAGTGCTCACTTCAGATTCTTAGATTAAACTAAAATTTAATGAATTTTCTTGAATTATTCATATCGAAATTTTTTTCAATATTAAAAATCAGTTGAAAGATTTTATCAAAAAGCTCACTCTCATGTCACCACTGTCTGTCACTTATTCTTTCAAAAAGTCCTTTAAACTTTGTGTGTTCACTTTTGTTACTCAAGAAAAAACGAACTTTTCATTAATCAAACATATTTGATAGTTAAAAGTTTATCAAATTTCATTGTTCAAATTTGAATTTCAATTTAAATTTTCCACTTCATTCATAACATTTATATATTATCTTCCTCTTCGTATGTCTTTTTCTGCTCTCTTTTATGCATATAAAAAAAAAGGATGAAAGGTCAGAAATCAACAGCAATCTGATTTTATTACTTTAAACTAAAGGTAAATTGCATAAAAAAAGGAGAAAAAAATAGTAATAAATTCAAAAATAAAAAAAAAAAAAAGAAAAAATGTGAAATCAAAGAAATGGATTAATGAAAGATGGACTAAATGCACCATTTATAGTTATAAACAATACTTTTATTTTCTTCAAAATTATCATTCAAAAATTAATAAAAATAACATTTTGCAAATAAACAAATAAACAAACATTGTGAACAATAAATAAACAATATGAGAGAAAAAGTTTTGTTTGAATTGTTTGTGTTGTTGCTGGCTGCTGTTGTTGTTGTTGTTGTTGTTGAGATTCGGTTTTGATAAAAATATGCAAAAATGGAGTGATAGAAAGATAGGCTAATTAAAATTAGCATAAAGTTAAAAGTAATACAATATAAAATGTATGTCAAATTATGCATATTAAGTGGGAAATATTTGAACCATTTTGATTAAGTATTACGTAAAAGAACTCAAACTATCTAGACTCTTTTAATGAAGTAATATGTAAAAAGATTTGAATCATTAGATTCAAGTAATGCCCAAAAGGAATTAAATCACAGTATGCACGTATTCAGTGATACTAATGAGGTTAAAGATTAATTTGAGGCTAAAGGTTAAAAGCTTTTTTAAAAGACTAGTTTCCTGGATAATAAGTGATACTTACTGTGCAATGTTTATAAAAATTGATTCATTTGCTAATATATTTCCAATAAATTCATCATTAAACATTTCGATTGTTCAGGACTATACGTGCAAATGTAACATTTGGTTTAATTAATATAATATTTAATTGATCATTACTATATACTATATTTAATTAGTGGTTAAATGTAAAAACTTGACCAAATGAGAGTTGATTAAAAATAACTTGAAAAAGTCATTTTTGAACAGTAAAAAAAAAAAAACACCAATGAAATAAAAGTATTATTGGGACATTTTGTTTGTGATTAAAATTAAATTTGTTTAAATTTCTAGAAAAAAAAAAGATTCAATACAAAAATAATTAAAATTGTTTTTTCGTAATTAAAACAAAATAATGACAATTAAATGAGATTATCAAAGAAGACTAGGAAATAGTAAACGAATATATTGAGAAAGACCAGTATGAGATGAATAAATACAATAGAAAATAGTATGACATATAATAAAATACGAGCAAAAAACAAAATTCACAAAAAAAAAAAAAAAAAAAAAAAAAGGGAAAACCAAAGCAACAATTGAAATTTAATTTAAAATTTTAAACCTAATAGGTACAAATGACTTATGTTATTTTTGTTTCTTGAATTTTGAATAAGATGGATTATAGCAAGAGAAATGCAAGTATTGATTATTATCACTAATTTGATATTCTAATCAATCTTCTATAAAAGATAACAAATCAACAAATGTTTATATTTAAACAATTCCAATTTTAATTCGGACTTTATTTCAGTAAAATTTTTTATTGAATTCAACTTTAAATTCGTAATCGATTTAAATGAATGTAAGATTGGGAAAAAAAACCGAAACAAACCTTTTCATTTGTAATTACAAAAGGTTTACACATTACATTACATCTTTCTCTATCAAATAATTAATTAATTCTACTTCTGGCAATGTATTTAAATTTAAAATTTTAATGAAATTTCGGAATAAAAATTTAATTAAATATTGTGGCTAAAATTGCTTCTTTAATCTCTTTGCTTCGATTTTATGCTCCAAACTTCTTTTCAATTTGAATTTGAAGAAAATCTCGTTTCCTTTTTTTTTTTTGCAAATTTAATTCTTTTCCATGCCATCTTTTTTTTTTCAAATGAAAGATGGAAATTTCAAGGAGTAAGAGCCTATTCAAGTGAAATCTATTCTATGAATCATTTTGAAATGATTCACTTTTTTTCTTTTTTTTGTTGGCTTTAAGAATACCATGAATGTCTCCTGAAAGAGGAGGTGATAATTGTTTGGTACTCTTTTAAAATCATATATTTACTCAAAACATTTTTAAGTTTTTAAGTACAATGCAATACAGTGTTATAACAAATTGATACGAACAACACATTAATAAGTTGCGTAAAAATTTCTTGTTTAATTTCATAAACAATAACATATATCATCCAATATATAGCAACAGGATTAGCATATTATCATATCATCAAATGATATCATCATTGGTGAAAGTTTCGAATTCGCGTCATTTCTTGTTTCATTTTTCCTTTTTTAAATTATTTTCCATCCTCTCATTTACATTAATAAATAGCAGAAGCAATAGCGGTTTTGAGCAATTTCAAAAAAAAAAAAAAGAAAAAAGAAATTAAATTAAATTAAACGATAAAATTACAAATACAGTAATCGTAGAAAATCTTCATTACAAATTATTAAATATTATTAAATGAAACAAATGATTATATACATCAGCTGGCTTATGAATGAATCCTTGCGCTCATTCTAAATTCATTTTATTTCCAAAAATAAAAATTCAAAAATTTGAATAATCAAATTACCAATTCATTAGATGACCAGATTCATCCAATTATTTTACAATTCTTTTTCTCATTTGAAAGAATTTACTAATTATTTAATATTGAAATTATGAACATAATTAACTCGTTGATAGCACCAAATTAACTCTTCATTAAAAAAATATGATAATTTCAGATGCGAAACATTTGCGCCATATTGTATTTTCGAAACAAAAGGAGACAGTAGCAGTAAGAAGAAATTAACGGATCGCCGTTGACCATCAATGATGTCCAATACAATTATTACTAAAGCAAATGTCAGCAGCAAAATAATAATAATAACAACAACAATAATAATAATAATAATAATAATAACAACAACAACAACGACAACATCAACTAACAACAGCAAAAATAATACCAAAGATAGTATTTTATAGCCATCTAAAATAGTTGAAATAGAAGCCAAGCGACAAGTTATCAATCATTTTCATTGTCTTGGGATAATGATGTCAAGAGAATCAATGGACAACAGCAAATGATAGCAACAACAACAACAACAACAACAACAACGACAACAATGACAATAAGAATAACAAAGGAAAAGGAAAAGCAATAATAGCAACAACAATAACTGTAGCAACAATAAGCTCAAGCAATAATGATATTAGCTTACTTATAAAATCCTTTCAATATTTTAAATTTTATTTAATTTTCAGAGATTTCTCTTACTAAAGAAAAAAAGATTCTTATATTCTTTTCTTGAAAAACAAAAAAATCCAATAAATTTTTTTTTTTTTTGTTTTTCAGCATTTTAATGAAAAGATTCATGTAAATATCATTACTATCATTGTAAGGAACAACAGTGAGCTTTTACAATTTTTACAATTGTAAATTTTGAAATGTAAAGAAAAAAAGGAATTGTCAATCGAAAAATTTATTTATAATTCATTTAATCTGTTTGATTTCATTTACAAATTCTTGTTGTTTTATTTTTCATTTTTTGTGATAAAGTTGGAATTTGAAATTTTTTATTAAATTAATTTTTTCGTTGTAAAATGAGTAAAAATTTAGGATTGAATTTGCTCAATGTTGATTTAATACTGATAAAAAGATAAAAATTGTTAATTACATGCACAAAAAAAAAGCTCGTTAATAAAATTGAAGCAAAAAAAAGAAGTTAGCAAAAAAAAAAACAAGAAAATACTTTGAGAAAAAAAAGTGGCGTAACTTTTGAATTGTTTAATTAAAAATTCATATTTCATTGGATGTTTCATTTTACATATCGTTTCTAAAGGTCACAATGGTCCACTCATTGACCAATCGTACTCGTACTAGCAACTAATTTCCCATATTCCAGCAATCATTCTTCCAACCTCAATTCTTCCAATCCGAGTTTTCAGTATTTCATGCAAGATTAAGCTACGCCACTAATTTAACACACAAACAATCGCTTATAAGACAAAAATAATAGAAATAGCTGCAAAAGAAAAAAAGAAAAAAAAAGCAGTTTAAAAATCAGTCCATAGGACACCGGTAGGTGTTCTTAAGGTTGATGATGCTGTTGATGAAATTTTTTCGGCTGCTTCATCTTTGGAAGCACAAGATGCTCGAGAAGAGGTTGATTCATCAGCATAAGGTAATGTTTCTACACTTTCTTGCATGCATGCTTCAGTGATTGGTTGTGGTGTTATCGAATTTACCGATTGCATCAAAACAACCGGTAATGATTGAGGAGGAGGAGGAGGAGGTGGTGGTGGTGGTGGTGGTGGCGGTGGCGGGAAATCATCAACATTCGTTGAATCTATTGCTTCATTTCCAATGATTGTTATATCATTATTTGTTGAATGTTCCATTTTTTCCTTCTGATTTTCCGATAATTGTTCTATTGCTGTTTTGAATTCACAATCAATATTTCGATTTGTATCGATCCGATCATTCTCTTTCAAATCTTTTGTCATCTTTTCACATTTTTCATCATTCTCATCACTGACATATGTCGTTTCCTCATCGTTATCATTTAAATTAGGTTGTGATATTGCACCAATCTGTTGTTTTTCACTCTTGACATTTGGTGGAATATTAAAACGTACAGGTTGAGTTTGTCGACGTGGATCACCACGACGTCCACGTTTTGCAATTGCGGACTTCTCAACATTTCGTCTTCGTAACAAATATTCTAAGACATCGCCAGAATCAGGTGTAGAAGATGATAATGAATGATCTTGAGAGGAGAAATTACCTGGTGAAGGTAATCGCTTTTTGGGTACTAAATCTAGGGATTTCCTTCTTCTCAAACTATCTGGGCTACGTGAACCTGACAGTGATCTATGCTGACTACCACTCTCCATAGCGTTGGTTAAAACTTCTGAAACCGTACTCTTACTACTGGTATCTTTAAAAGTCGAAAATGACCCTTCAGCTTCACTGGATATATTACGCATTGTAAGCACATATGGAATATCGCTATTGAAGAGATGACATTTCTGAATTTCTGGATAATCCTCACTTTGCACCGAAATTAGCGTTGGACGATTCAGTTCACGCGTACTTGATGATACCGTACAAGATGGAAGAGTTCCTTCTTTTTGAAGATTTACAACTGGATGACATGGTTTTACTTCTGGTACACGTAAGACTGGAGCTGATTCTGTAAAGCCAGTTTCTGAAGTAGAGGTAAGTTTTTTTGGCTTCGGAGGTACCACCGGTTTTGGTTTACGTTCTCGATAACCTTCTGGAGTGATTACCAGATTTTCCTTAGTTATAACTTTACCCGGTAATGGTCCAATTGCACCATATGTTTTGGGAGTTTGTTGTGGTTGAACTATTGTCATGTAGCTCTGACCGCTATCTGAGGCATGAGTGAAGCTAACATTACTGTAGATATTTTCATTAGCGCTTAAGTCATCCTCATCTGGGATTATTTTTGGTCTCTGCAAAATGGTACCTTTCGATGTATAGACAATTTTCGAATGCTTTGATTGCACTTCCTTGGTACGTGAATCAGAAGGTTGAGCATCAATGGTTACGGGCCAACAATCTGATTCTACCTTCGTAATAGGTGAACGAATAGGAGCCTGTGGTGGAGCGGTACCATTTACCTTTGAAACCCTACTAATTTCCTTCTTACTACTTAACTTCCTATGTTCATCCAGATTAACATTTGGACCATCAATCTCGATAGGTACCAATTTTTGATGTAAGGGATATTCCGCATATGAAGATGGTGCCGATGAGGGATGCTTCCTCTCAGTGTAGAATCGTTGTTGCGAACTTGTATCACCAACTTCAACTTGATTACTTTTAGAGGAAGATTCATGCTGATAAACCTGTCCTGAATTATCTCGTTGATTACGTCCCACTTCTACTTTCCTTCGACCACTACCTAACCGTTTTCCGCTGTACGCATCTTCATCATCAGTAGTATTCGGTGTTGAACGAGTATTTGAAACCACCTTCTTAACAATAACATTACCAACACGCTTAGCTGTGAAAGTAGTAGCATAAACAGGATTCACCGGAACAGTCGGGACATCGGAATGTGCTAATCGTAGCTCATTATCAGATAATTTATACGATCCTTCACTAATATTATCATAATCACGAGGTGTTTGATGTAATTCCAAGAAATTATCACCAGATGCAGACTTAGGTGGGCATTCACATTTAAGCTCAAATTCACGACAAACAATTTGCACATCATCACCAAGCACATTTGGTAACGATACTGATGTAATAGCATCATTATCTGATGCAGTTATGATATTATCAGTATTATCAGTTTCCGCTATTGCTCCTGCTTTTATACCTTTAACAGTGGATTGTTTTAGAGGTCTAAAATCAGAATGCTGCTGTTTGTAGCGCGAATTCATGGTACCACCACCAGCTAATGAACATACATCATTACTTTCCATATCACTCAAACACATTCGTTCACCATTTATTGCCGCAGCACTACTATTACTGGGATAATTTTGCGAATTTCGATGATGATGATGATGATTACGAATACTGGTAGTGGTACCATAGTTATTTGGAGTTATCTCACCGGGAAAATAACTCATCGTACCTGATTGTTGACCTGTACTTTGACCATAGCTTTGGCTACTTATACATGAACCACGATTCATTGATCGTTCACCATTTATGCAATATTTTGCATAAACTGGTACATTTCTAGAAGGTAACGTTCCAGAACCAATCAAATTCACTGATCGTTCACTTACTGTTGCATAAGCAGGATGATATGTCATATCAAAGAAAGCTGGTCGTGACAATCGACCATTTGATGAAGATGAAAGACCTGATTTAATTGGCCTAAAAAAAA